AGATAATTATGGATTAGTGAAAAAATAATGGCATTATTAAAAAATCTTCTTCTCAAGAACAACTGGGCCAGGAAAGATGAAACTCATGTGGAACCATCCTCAGGAAGTGTGGATTTAAGTTTGTTCAAATTATAACCCCCAGGGGTAGGACGGGGCCACAATGGCCGACCAAAGTTTTACATAGAATTACATAGGAAAATTCTTAAAAAATCTTCTCCTCAAGAATAACAAAGCCATGATTGATCATATTTATATGGAAGCATCCTCAGGTAGTTTGGATTCAAGTTTGTTCAAATCATGACCCCCGGGGGTAGGATGGGGCAACAATGGCCGACCAAAGTTTTATATAGAATTACATAGGAAAATTCTTTGAAAATCTTCTTCTCAAGAATAACAGAGCCATGATTTATCATATTTATATGGAAGCATCCCCATGTAGTGTAGATTCAAGTTTGTTCAAATCATGACCCCAGGGGGTAGGGCGGGGCACAATGGCCGACCAAAGTTTTACATAGAAATATATGGGAAAATTCTTTAAAAATCTTTTTCTCAAGAATAACAAAGCCATGATTGGTCATATTTATAATGAAGCATCCTCACGTAGTGTAGATCATATTTGTGTAAATCATACCCTCTCCCCTTTAAGGAATGGTTGGGACTACTTTTGGGTTGAAACTTTTCAATAATAAACTAATTTCTACTTTTATGCTAGCCACAGTGTTCAGGTGAGCGATGTGGCCGATGGGCCTCTTGTTCTTTAATTATGTTCCCCGAACGAGGTTGGGGAACATATTGTTTTTACTCTGTTTCTTTTATTATTATGTCGCCCGAAGGAAATTGGGCGACATATCGCGATTGTACGCATGTTTTTGTTCTCCAGGCTCTTTCTCGGAAATGGCTAGGACAATCTTCTTCAAACTTTCCTCAAAGGAGGGTCACTGGGTATTGTTTTATTGATGAAAATTTGAAAGTCTTGTCCAGTTCGGACGCTATTGCTTACAACAGCAGACTTTCTAGTTATGTCGCCCCGAACGAAGTCGGAGGCGACATATTGCGATTGTACATATGTTTTTGTTGTCCAGGCTCTTTCTCGGAGATGGCTGGGACAATCTTCCTTAAACTTTCCTCAAAGGACGATTACTGGTTGTAGTTGTGTTGTGTAGTAATTCAGTTTCAAAATGGCTACCGTTGCCATGGAAACCTGCAAAAAGCGACGAATTTTTCCTGCAGGTGTTTTTCTCTGGTCACTTGAACATTCGTCATGAAACCTGTTATGTCGTCCCGAACGAAGTCGGGGACGACATATTGCGATTGTACGCATGTTTTTGTTCTACGGGCTGTTTCTCGGAGATGGCTGGGACAATCTTCCTGAAACTTTTCTCAAAGGAGGATCACTGGCTATAGTTGTGTTGTGTGGTCATTCAGTTTCAAAATGGCTATCGTTGCCATGGAAACCTGCAAAAAGCGACGAATTTCGAAATCACGTGAAATGATTTATATACTTAATATAACTTATACATTTTTGATGGAATGCTTGGAAACGTATTATATAAGGATATATTAATAGTGTAGATAATATGACACTGTCAAATTAGCAGGAACTTACATGCATGTACGTTCGCTTTGCTCTGATTGGCTGAAACAAAAATCTTAATATCTTTTTTGTTTTAGGACGAAATTCTTTGAAATTTTAAATGTAGTCATGCATTAGGATATCCGACAATATGATATATAACAATAATCATGAAAAGACATGCATGCACGTGCGCTGCAATCTGATTGGCTAAAACTTTAAATGGCTACAACTCCTTTGGTTTTCAACGAAACAGGATGGGATTTATATCATAGATAGACATAATGGATTCCTACAAGAAGGTATGGTCATCATGCATATGCATGCACATGCGTGCATGAGCGCTTTGCTCTGATTTTTATGTCAAAGAACTGAAAGGACTGACACGAGTTGATGATTATCCAAGCTTAGCTAATTGGTATTGTTTTAGTGATGAAAAACATGAAAGTCTTGTCCAGTTTGGGGCGACATACGCTATTGCTTGCAATAGATGACTTTCTAGTTTTTCTTCTTCCTGAGAAAATTTTGTCCATGAGTGATCTTGTAAAATAACATCCGACATATGTGAAACCTTTTTAGGGTCAGTAGACATGTTATGTAAATTTACCGAAGGAAGGTCATTTTGCACGCACGTTCTTGCACAAGCGCACACGACCAACACGTGAAATGACCAATATAATGAATACAGCCGTAACTTTTTTAATCTTTGATGAAATGCTTTGAAACTCATTATATAAGGATATTTTAGTAGTATAGACAAGGTGACATGGTCAAAATAGCAAGATTTTACGCGCATGCAAGTGCGCTTCGCTCGGATTGGCTGAAACTAAATTCTCAACATCTTTCATGTTTTTTAATAAAATCCTTTCAAATTTTGGAAATAGTTATACGTTATGGAGATCTACAGCCTGATATATAAGAATAATCATGAAAGCATGTGCATGTACGTGTGCTTGCAAGAGCGCGCACGTGCAACACGAGAAATGTCTATTATAATTGATATGAAATAACTATGTAAAATTTGGATAAAATGCTTTGAAGGATATATTAGAAGCATAGACGAGAGGGCGTTGTCAAAATAGCAAGATCTCATGCGCATGCAAGTGCGTTGCGCTCTGATTGGCTGAAACTAAATTATCAATATTTTTCTTGTTTTTCGACAAAATCGTTTGTAATTTTGAATTTGGTTATACATTAAAAAGTTCTACAGCATGATATATAAGAATTATCATGAAAAGCATGTACATGCACGTGTGCTGCAATCTGATTGGCTAAAACTTTATATGTCTACAACTTTCTTAATTTTCAACGAAACGGGATAAAATTTAGAATATGAATAGGTATAATAGATTCCTACATTATGGTACTATCAAAATAAATGCACAAACTTGCATGCTTTCACGTTCGCGCGCGAAATACGCACCATGGCTAATTTATTTGAAAAACAGTAAAATGTATATTGTTTTGAATTTTTTAATTATACTCACGATATTTAGATATTTTAGTTGTTTAGACAACATGCCATACTCATTTTGCATGTGCATGCACCTTCATGCACGTACAATGCATTAAATGACATATAGTTGATAGCATTGTAGCCTTTATAACTCTTTGATGAAATCCTTCGATACTGATCATATTTTTAAAAATGTCCTACGGGGATTAGGCACAAAAAAGGATTTGGGGAGCGTTTGGGGAACATCTGTAACGGTCCCCGTTACAATCAGCACTAGTTCATTTTGCTATTTCGAAAATGTAATCGTCTAAAATTTAATAGCTGACTCGCTACTAGAATCAAAGATATAAGGTTCCATGGTCACTTTCAGATAACTTTAAATTCTTTTTGAGATATGCATTATGTTCGTGAAATTATAAAATTTGTTAAGAAAGTTTATAGATTTTTAGCAACATGAAATGGTTTTGCATGAAAGAAGATCAATGCATGTCTTTGTGAGAAGTGGTTTGATTTCATTTAATATAGGATAAGTTTTTTTTAAACATTCATCGCAATCTGTTTGGGACTCTTTTACGGCTGAGAATTCCATCTTGAAATTGTAAATAAATGCAGCGACATGAAGATTTACAGTTAATTCGTTTTTAGCTCACCTGAGCCAAAGGCTCAAGTGAGCTTTTCTGATCAAATTTTGTCCGTTGTCTGTCGTCGTTGTCGTTAACTTTTCACATTTTCGACTATTTCTTAATTTCTCACTGGGCCAATTTCAACCAAACTTGACACAAAATATCCTTAGGTAAAGGGGATTCAAGTTTGTTCAGATGAAGAGCCATGCCCTTATTCAAGGGGAGATAATTAACAAATAATGAAATTTTGATGATATGTTTTAAAAATCTTCTTCTCAAGAACCACTGTACCAGGAGAAAAGAAACTCATGTGGAATCATCTTCAGGTAGTGTAGATTCAAGTTTGTTCAAATCATGACCCTCGGGGGTAGGGCGTGGCCACAATGGCCGAAGTTTTACATAGAAATAAATAGGGAAATTCTTTAAAAATCTTCTTCTCAAGAACCACTGTGCCAGGAAAGATGAAGCTTATCGGGAAGCATCCTCGGGTAGTGTAGATTCAAGTTTGTTCAAATCATGACCCCTAGGGGTAGGGCGGAGCCACAATGGCTGATCAAAGTTTTACATAGAAATACATGTATATAGGAAAATTCTTTACAAATCTTCTCAAGAACAGCAAAGGCATGAATGATCATATTTATATTGAAGCAACCTCAGGTAGTGTAAATTCAAGTTTGTTCAAATCATGACCCCCCCCCCCCCCAGGGTAGGGCGGGGCCACAATAGCCGATCAAAGTTCTACATAGAAATGTATGAGGAAATTCTTTAAAAATCTTCTTCTTAAGAATAGCAAAGGCATGAATGATCATATGTTTATGGAAGCATCCTCAGGTAGTGGACATTCAATATTGTTTAAATCAGCACCCCTGGTGGTAGGGCGGGGCCACAGCATAGAATCCAAGTTTTACATAGAAACATGTACAAAAAATCTTTAAAATTCTTCTTTTCAAGAATAGCAAAGCGATGATTAGTCCTGTTCATAAGCATTCTCAGGTAGTGTAGAATCAATTGTGTTCAAGTCATGACCCCTCGGGGTATAAGGCGGGGCCACAATGTAGTCAAATGTATACATAGAGTGACTGAAATATCAAGTATTAGAGAAACGTTTTTAATGAGTGGGTATTGGAAAATACTGTGTGAAATGTATAGCAAAAGTATTTTTTAGAGATTCTTGGCGCTGTTTTTACGTTACATTACCGTTAAGTGTGCTCCGCGGGTACAAAACATGTTGATTTTAAAATGAAGTAAATTGATTTCTGTTATATCAAACGGAATGAAACTTTACGCATAAATAAATATTAAGGAATCTACAGTATATGTTTCTGAAATTATTTGTAATTTTTTTAAGTAATGGGTGGTCTGGTTCTGCCATCTGTGCCTTTATGGTTGATTCGGTCAAAGACAGGTTTGCTGACCGGGTGTACAAGTACCAGGAGACGCCAAACTCCATGTGGACCCCTCTCCCTTTCAGTAAAATCCCCGCTAGAAGTGAGCCAGGAAAAGTATGTTATAACAACTCAGGCATAATGAAAAAATAATGATTCACCGTAAGCTTCTGAGACAAGTAATTATTCCTTTTCCTTCCATATCAATTTGCGTAAAAATTAAAATTGCAAAGCAATCATTATTTACATTTTTTTACAGTGTATCAACAATTCTAAGAGCCTGAAGGATGTTGAGGAGAATTTTATGATGGAGTATCCCCTTAAGGATGCTCCAGTACAACAACAGGGGAACAAACCCCTGGTCTTTATGGATGGCATCCAGATGCAAGTTCTTCAGGTGGATACAAAACGAAGTCGTCTGGGAGGTTCCCTCATTTTCTATGCTGCCTCTAGTAAGTTTCCTAGCAAAAACATGAATTTTATAGTTAGTCTATGGTATAATTAGTATGTAAAATTGACCTCATAAACAATCAAATCCTCAGTGTGGGCACCGGTAACTGTTAGTGCTTTTGTTTTCTCATTTTTGAACATATTTCCAAACATTCAACTTTTAAAACAGAGAAATAATAAGTATCCACATAAAACGCAAATTTATTTTGAATGAAGGTAATTCTCTTGAATCCTAACAAGATCTAATGTTATGTTTTCTTCTGCTTTCAGACACAGAAGTGTACAAGATTCATTCATGGAATAATAGCCAAAATCAGGCCATATCTTCAGTGTTTTCCCCATTGCCAAAATCAGAAAACATCCGGGACATGAAATTCTATGTAAGATATATTACAATTAAGTGCACATGTAGTATGATGAGAGACTAAGGAGAAATACCGGTATTCTAAATATAAGACTGATTTATGCATCTGTCTTGTTTCCTTAATAAAGGCTTCATAATTATCAAAGCGGACTACATGGGACTCAATTATAGATCACTTTCTCCATCCGTCTGTCTTTCTGTCTGTTTGTTCATCTGAGAGGCAATGTCACAGTTTCTTAACATTCTTATAGTACATTAAGTCTCTAAGAAACTTCAAAATGTTAATATCTACATAAAATGCTTGTGTTAAGGAGCTCTTGTCCAGTATTGAGGTATTGTCAGGGGTCATATTTCTTTGGATGTCTTATTATTTTTGTCACTCCTCAGCTTTTGATTAAAGTTTGGTAAGAATCTTTTACTTCAATACTAATTACAGATAAATATCAGTATCTCGAACATGGGATATCTCGAATACCCCGCTTATGTCGAAGTCGATCGCCGGTTCCGGCCGTATTCTCTATATACATGTATATGATTTAAAAAAACACCTGATATCTCGAACACGGTAATCTCGAATACCCCGCTTATGTCGAAGTATATTCAAAGTCCCAAGCCCTACTTTTACCTTATCTCGAAGTGCAGTGAATTTTTCGGTCTAGTGAACACACCTGGCGTCGTGACTTCACACTTTCTCGCCAGTGGCTATTAACACCTTCAAACCGGGGGAATCTTAATTAATCCCAAGCTCATGTTGGATATCTGTGACACGGTAATTGGTATGACAGCTTGGATGTTGGTGTACGACCGATAAAACCACTCGCAACAATTCAGAAACTTATACAGACAGTATTACCGATATTGCATTTAATAATATGCTCTGTATAAAAAAAATCGTAAATTCATAAAACACAAAAGATTTTTCAATATAAACTTAAACAGTTAAGCTGCAGTATGTAATGCACAGTGCAGTGATTGATTACTTCCATGTTTATCTGCGTATAAATAGATAACCTTGACCGCCATTTGCATTGTTAGTTTCGTAAACTATATGTTCCTTAGTAGTACTTCGTAATGTAATACATTTAAGCTATTAATAGTAGTCAAGTTCACAGTTTAAATACTGATTATTTTCTTAGTGCTCTAAATAACATTTTGCACTAAATTTCATCAAATAAAGTTTAGAAATTCGACTTTTTCTTTTCTTACGGAGAAGGTTCTTCAACTATAACGCTAATGATATATCCCGTTTGACCTAAGTAAGCATGGCCTGGAAAATGTAAAATCGCTGTATATGCAATAAGGCATGTATATTAAATTGTTTAATAATTATACAAATAAAGAAAACACCAACATTGTTTTTCTTAATATTTATTGCGAATATGCTTGAATCTTTACCGTAAAGACTACATGTTTGGTAATACAGGATAGTGTTAATAGTATGCATGAAGATGTGTAAGAAAAAACGGGAAATCATTAAATCGACTTTGGAAGATTACTTCTGATATCTCGAACCCCCGGATATCTCGAAGTCGTGTCCAGGTCCCCTCAACTTCTAGATACTGATATTTCACTGTATTACAATTCAATTTTATTACGCAATTCATTTTAACAATGCAAATTATAAATATTCATTTTAACGATTTAAATTCCTTAAATTCTCAGAACAGCTATACAATTAAGTCAGAAAATGTAAGCGATTGGGAGCCGATATGTCACACATTTATTGCTATAGAAAAGCTTTTGTAAAATGGGTCTCGGACTTTGTGACAATGATCAGTGTACCATTATATTACATTGTATCAAGTTTTAAAGCTTACTGTCCTTCATTTAAACCTGAACTTGATTTTATTTTTTTATTTATTGGGGGATGGGGGTATTAAGCGCATCCTGTGTAATGTATAATATATATTAACAGCAGCAGACAGGCACTTTTTAGCTTAGGGGTACATGTATGTATTTCTACAAGACCTTCGTTAATCAATTGCCACATTACGACTTTCCTTTTTATGTTCCGTGAAACTTAAGATTTAATTCCATACAATATTCATCAACATCTAAAAAATTAAAAGATAAGGTTTTTAATTAGATAACATTGTTAACATAAGTCCGAAAAATCTGACGTTTTCCTGGCTTTTTTACGATTTTGATATTTAACATGTCAGGAAAACGTCAGAACTAGCGCCATTACGAAAACTGGAAATTTCGACGTCTTCAGCTGAGTTGATTTCAATACTTGTGAACCGAACTAAATGCCGAAATCAGAATTTATCGAAAGCACATTGCCTCTAGTACTCACCAATACTGATGAAAAGAAAATATCACTCCAAAAATTTTAAAATGCACGAAATGAAGACAAATCTCGACAGTGTAAAAAAAAATTTTTTCCACGGATTATTAATTTTATAAATGAACCATAAAAACTATATTGGTAAGTTTTTTAAAGTATTGATAACTTCTGACTTTGAAAATCTGAAATTTAATTCAGTTCGCAAGTATCTAAAATCAACTCGAGAATGCCGCCTCCGATTGGAGGCGGTGATTTCCCGGTCAACGTAATGGCGCCGGTTCTGACGTTTTCATGGCATGTAAAATATCAAAATCGTAAAAAAAAAAATAGCCAGGAAAACGTCAGATTCTTCGGACGATGTTAACATATACGAAGAATTGAGGGACTGTTGATTTTGACAATATTGTTAACATACTTAACATTGAGGTTTAGTTGATTTTGACAGCATAAAGTTAACAATGCTGTCAAAATCAACAAAACCCCAGTTCTAAGTATGTTAACATTCAGCATTGTTAACATTCATTCGAATTATGGTATCATTGATTTTGACAGCATAATAACATATTAAGAATTAAGGTACTGTTTGTTTTACAGAATGATGAGATTTACATAAGTACAGACTCCTTTGTTAAACAATTTAAAGTCATCATTTGTGACCAGTACAAGAAAATCGATGCTTGTCTTGATGACCCATACTGCAGCTGGAAAGGCATTTTCACTGGAACTTGTTCTGAAAAGGAAAAGAAGTAAGGGTTTTAGCCTGTTTTGGTTTAATGTTTTGGTTGAACTATGTAGTTTCTTTTTCTTAAACGGTTTATCTTTTTATGATGCTTGTTTATTCAGAATTCCAGAGGGAATGTGGTTAAGATATTTTTTTTGCATAAATTATATAGAGTTATCTAGCTAAACCATTGATAACTACAAAATATGATTTTTAAAAAACAACCAAACTTAAAAGTCCATCTCATTAAAACAATTATCAACAAAAGTTTCATAACAACATTCATTTGATTTTAAAAACCTGTGTACACAAATTCCAGATTCTTTATATAAAGTAAACAACGTTAATAATATGATTTACCCTTGTTTGAAGGTGAAATAGAATAGGCCACAACAGTTAAAACAAAACAATTGATGTGGATGGATTGAAAAATAGTGTTCGACATTATAAAGTCATAGATCTGTTTTGTTTTATATGCAGACCCTATAACCCCATTTAGAAGTTAGAAGTTGATTTTTTTGTTCAGTTGATATTTTACTACTCCGTACTTAAAACACTGATTTATTTAAAAGCATGTTATTAGGGCAATATAGATATTTTTATAATGGACTGTCTTTTATTGGACAAGAGCATAATAAAAGGCACATGCTTTAATGATCTGTCGACATCATTTGTCATATTTACATATATGCATTTTAAAGGTCAAGCGTTTACCAGACACTGAGATATTTTGTCCATGCCGTAACTTTGCAAACGACTTGTTTGAATTTTGATTTGAAGTTCTTGATGTCCATGATGAGATATTAAAATGAGGTTGTATCTTAAAGGTGGTCAGGGACACAATACAGTTAATGAAGGTGTAACGCTTTATCTAGTCCTAGCAAACTTTCCTGAAACAGATTCAAACTTGAGGTGGCCGTGAATCGAACTCAAGGTCCTATCTCAAATGTCACGTCACTGGATGATGAATATGAAAATCACAAAACCAAAATAGAATTCATCCATCATGTACTGTATCGTTTCAATGTCAGTGAATAATGGCCAAGGGTATAAAAATATGCAACTAGGTTTTAATTTTGTTGACTTTCAGCATTATTGTTAATTAAGAATTGTTTTCGATAGTGTTCCTGGGCTCTCTCATGAGGACATTGAAGAACTTGAAGAGAAGTACAGTAATGCTGAGAGCAATATTATCAAAAGAACGGGTGAGTATTTAAATCACATGGTACCTTTACAGTAAGTACAGAAAGGTTATTTCACAATGAAAATCTACAATAAGTACAGAAAGGGTATTTCACAATGAAAATCTACAATAAGTACAGAAAGGGTATTTCACATTGAAACTCTACAATAAGTACAGAAAGGGTATTTCACAATGAAAATCTACAATAAGTACAGAAAGGGTATTTCACATTGAAACTCTACAATAAGTACAGAAAGGGTATTTCACAATGAAAATCTACAATAAGTACAGAAAGGGTATTTCACATTGAAACTCTACAATAAGTACAGAAAGGGTATTTCACATTGAAACTCTACAATAAGTACAGAAAGGGTATTTCACATTGAAACTCAACAATAAGTACAGAAAGGGTATTCATTTTGAAACTCTACAATAAGTACAGAAAGGGTATTTCACATTGAAAATCTACAATAAGTAAAGAAAGGGTATTTCACAATGAAACTCTACAATAAGTACAGAAAGGGTATTTCAAATTGAAACTCTACAATAAGTACAGAAAGGGTATTTCACATTGAAACTCTACAATAAGTACAGAAAAGGTATTTCACATTGAAACTCTACAATAAGTACAAACGATTTTGTTCTTGAAAGAAACAAGGGTAAGGCCAGAATTTGGATAATAATGTAAACATTGTAATATGCCATGAATAATGTTTTCATGATTGATGGTATCAAAGGAAAGGATTCGCAGGTATTAATTTGCTATATAGATGCTACATGGGGATGTTTTTTCACATAACTCTTTTCTTCACATAGCCATTGGGCTATTGTACATGTAAGTGGGACAAATGTCATATTTATTTTAAAATTTGAAAAAAAGTCATGAGCTCGCTAATAGAAAATGTATGCATCAATAAATATGTATGCTTTTAAAATGAAATAGCTTACTCTAAATTCAAGAAAGTATTAATGTTTGAAATACAAAGGCTGGGGGATATTAAAGAAATAAGGTATCATTTTTTGAGTTTTATTGGGATGAACAATGGGTTGGTCACGTGATCAAATCCCATGAAGCTCGAAGGGCTTTATGGAAGATTTGATCATGTGTCAACCCGTTTTACATTCCAATAAATGATACCTTATTACATATGTACTTATATTTACATTTGTGACTGATTAATTTAAAATAGTCAGGCACTGAAGTTTAAAATCCATAAGAGATTTACATTTTTTCAAAACTCAACGGTATAATTTGAATGCGTTGAGCACGTCGATCAGTTATGACGTCACTATGAATTTACCTAGATCGTTTATGACTAACAATCAATTTATGGTCACATGACGAACGTGTTTTACCGAGATGTAAAAACGCTTTGTTCAAATAGTGTTATATAAGGGCAACCATTTGCAAATGTTAATATTTTAATTTGAACTGTTTTTAACCTTAACTATCCGCAAGATGTTTAGTATAATATTATAACAACCTATTTTCTCTACAGTGGAAGTTGGGCAATCAGTAATCTTACCACATTATTACCCCTTTACTTTGGATTACAAGAAGGTAACTTGGTACAAGATTACGAATGGTAAAACAGCCCGCGTTGTGCTGGATAACAATATAATGATGAGCAGTAACCAGGATTTGATTTTGTTTCGAGTGAAAGAAAACGATGAAGGAATCTATGAAGCTTTCATAGATGATAAGAAGTTAAATACAGTAAACATGGTAAAAGTGAAAAGTGAGTAAAAACATACATTTTTAAAGCTCTATTTTTACAGGTATACAAACCATACTTAACAAATTTTATTCTGGTTAATTCATTAGGATATCATCAGTTTGAAATCAAAGTACAATCAAATGTTCTTATTACACAGCTGTAACACACGAAATCAGCATACATTATAGGATTAAACGTTCTTTTTTCAGCATTTATCGATGTGTAAACTCTGCCTTTTCGCTCACAAACTGAATAAAAGTGCGAAGCAAAGCAGTTTTATGTAAAGTTTGTGAATAAAAAGGCAGAGTTTACACATCAATAAATTCTGAAAAAAGAACGTTTAATTCTTATAATTCCAATTACGAATTTTTTGAATTATTAAAATTATTTCCCTTTGAGGCCGCCATACAATCCGTTATTTTGTACGGCGTAGGAATACTTTAATGCCACAAAGAAACATATACAAGATAAAATCCAACTTAAATTGTCAAAACAATCAATAAATAAACTTATAAAAATTCATTGAATGTTGTTTAAGTCAACAAATATCGTAAATACGCGTATTCTCAAGAATAATTCGTCCTTGACCATGGCCATGTTGACATTAACAACAACGTCATATAACGAAAGTTGCAGACCGACGACGTCCTCGATTTGCTCTGGTTCGTTCAAAGATTTAGGGAGAATATGGGATCTGTAGGATGTAAACATATGAATTTGATGCCAGAAAGGCAAGAGTCTGAGGTACGTTTCTGTTCCCTATCACAACGATACCAACTGAGCTGATATGGAACGTCGAGAAAATGACAGCATTTTTTAAAATTCACACTCGTGATCCGACAGTGTCATAAACATAATATTCCCGTCTGTCAGTCCTGTTTATCTCCTTTTCATTTATTCATTCGATCATTCATTCATTCATTCATTCATTTTTTATTTCAAGTTTCTTGTAGCTAAAACGGACTAGAAGTATCTGTTTTCATTGTTTTTAAAACAGTCAAGAAAGTAGTTCTGATTGAAGAATTCATCGATGTGTAAACTTTTTCTTGAATTTGTTTTCGTCCAATTAAAACACAAGGAATCAATAAATAAAATTAAGATTGGAATTATTCATTGATAAGGTTTTGAAAAGCTATCAAATGATGAAAACCATTCTGTTTTACAGTGACAAATATACAAAAAATAGCAAATATATAATTTTCTTTGAAAATTCCTCAAAAATATTTTTTCAAGGAGGTATACAGCATCATAAGAGTTGAAAACTTAATGGAACTCTAAAATTAAAAAAATGTAAGAAATTATGTTCCAAACTACATATTGCCTATGTCCATAAACTTCAGTATCTCAAACACTAATATCCTGAACATCATGGATATTCTACAGTAATTAAGTTAAAAATCACAACCACTTTTAGCTCAACTTAACCCAAATGCTCATTTAAGCTTTCCTGATCAAAAGGTGTCCGGTGTTTAGAAAAATAATGACCCCCCATAGAAAAATAACCGAGGGACATTTTTCGCCCCGTAGAAAAAGTCATCTTCGCTAGCCAAGGGTTAACGGTCCGCAATGCTCCCCATAAACCCTTGGCCGATATGCACTGCAAAACGCCGGTCACACATAGCGCCATCTGTAATTTCTTCAGAAAGAACCATAATTCTGGTTGAAGCAAACAGCCAATGAAATGATAGCTTTTATATGTATGTTTCGGTAGACAATTATACACAATATGGCGACTTCCATTGAAACAACGTTTGGAATACAAAAAAATAATTTCTTTCAAACAAGTTTGGCTTTCCGGAAAGCCTGAAATGTCATCTCTTTGGTATCAATAATGTCAAAGAAATAAAACAGAAAGGGAAATATTTTAATGCAATGAATATATGGATTATTACACCTGAAGTTCCCAAATGACTTATATTCAGCAAACTCCACAGTAAAGTACGCAGTTTCTTTTGGCCGCAGTATATCTATGGAAAGCATGGACGTCTGCGAGAGCACCCAAGGCGATTTTTGGTAAAATTTCATTCTAGCGGTCTTTGTGCTTCTGGGTGTTTACAATTTACTTAAATTCAAATACTTTCCTTGAACTATATTTTCTTAACACAATACAGAATTATCAACAATAATTATCATTCATTTAAAAGCAGCTAACCATTAAAGTTTGACAGGAATTAATTTAATAAATCCAATTACAGACTAAAAAACATAAAATCAGCGTTGACTACTCTTCATTAATTTTTTGCAGAATCTAATTGTAAGCTTGTTCTTTTGTGCGACAAATCTATATACACATGTATAGAAATCACGTCATTGTCAATTCTCCTTGTGTGGCTTACCAATTTAATAAGGCATAGTATTGAGGATCAATATATATACGACACACCGAAACTATAGATATTTATAAGCATCGTACTTCTTTTCTATATTTTCCTTGGCTTTCAAATAGGCCTAAACCGAAAGTAGATCACACACTCCTAAGCTAGTTCTTTCAAAAGAAAACCAGTTTACAGGCTACTTGGAACTCTATAAAACATCGAGGACTCCAGAAAGATTAATGGAGGCTTTCACTAGGACTTCACTTCCGGCATACAATCTTAATGTGTCATCTCCCTAGGGAGATGACAACAAGAGGCGTTATATGCTTTAACGGAAAGACGTGGTGTGTTCATAAGAACGAAAACGGGTTTACACATGCGTTATAATTTCCTCGAAAACTTCTCAAAAGTTCTAGGTCGTAAACTAAAAACAGTTTTTTCATTGGTCGACGGTCGGCTACAACTCTCCAATGAAAATTGACCGGCGTTTTCCACTGCATATCGGCCAAGGGTTTATGGGGAGCGTTGCGGACCAAAAGCCTTGGCTAGCGAAGATGAGAAAAAGTGTCATCACCCTAAAAATTTACCGTACCTGAAAAAAATGGCACCCGCAAAAAAGTGACTCATTAGGGGTTAAAGTTGAAATTTTTAAGGGTAAGAAAATCAATCAATCAAGACACTTATTGGCCTTTACATGTATGTTCATTTGAGCTTTGTTGGGAACAAATTGATGATATGTTGATCTCGTAACATTATACAATTAATATCATTTTAAGGACAAGACGATGCGTTAAAGATTCCTTGAGCCCAAAGGTGAGGTGAACATTGTTTTTCAATCGTGGAAAATCATTTATATAATTTAACGAATAAATTGATACAAGCTAATTAAGCAGACATGTCAAGTTTCTTGTTTACATTTGCTCAAGTCCTAGCCAAACAAAGAGAGAGTATCGGAGCAAATCCAAAACCAATAATAATTTGGCATTTGAAATGTATTTAGGTGGAATGTAGAGAGAAATATAGGCTTAGGTAGTATCGAAAAGAAGAGGCAAAAATGACAAGTAACCTTAAAAATATCTTTGATACACCCCTCAAAAAGTATATTGGTGTAAGGGGGTTTCCTTTTAATCAACTTTAACAAAACGTTGGACTTAGAACATCAAGACTTAAATTGCAATGAACATTTTCAAGCAAAAAATATAAAATTTACGTTCATGAAAATGGAAGGCGGAGGACACCCTACCCCAACCCTGACTTCATGCTCTTGAATATTATGTGCATCTTGCCCCATTAATAGTAGGTGAGATTTTAATTACTATATAAAAAAGAGGGGGTTGTTACGAGACTTGCAATGAATATTATCACACTAGATATTGGTAAAATTTACTTAAAGAAGAAGTTCAATGTAGGAAAAATACCTCCCCCCCCCCATGTTCACCAAGAAAGGTCAATAAAATGGTCTGTCTTTAATGATAAATTAAAAACAATATTGTAGTGTTTCCATATTGATTTAACAAATGTAGCACTATTTAAAAGTAGATTTTTAAAAAAGTGATTCTTACATATTTGTATCCTTTCCTCAAGGAATCGTGCATGTTAACAGACTTGAATGAACAATATACCCGGATTATCTTATACCTTTATATACATGTATTTGAAAAGAAATTCCCATAGACCACTATTCATTTGAATATATCAATTGAATGCACTTCATACGATTGTATATATTTCAGACATGCAGAAATGTCATGTCCTTCTTATGTTTAAATTTGCTTTCTGCTTCATGTTTGGACGTTCTATTGTGTAAGACGATGAAGTCCAACTACAACTAAATTGTCTGACAAATTGGATGACTTCAGCTTTTCCCATCATCAACTTTCCTAATCTATGCATTAATATTTTGCTATCATTTGCATTGATGTTAAGGTCTATCATCTCATTCGGAAGGGCACGCGATTATTTTTTTATAGAGGCAAACTACTGACAGATAAGTTCAATGGCCTTGAGTGTCGAGTATATCTCATAATTTATAGCTATCCCCTGCAAAGTGGTGGTGTCTCCATATGAGTGAAAAATTCTCGAAAGGTGCGTTAGATAATAAACAAACAAACAAATCTCTAGTTAAGGTGCTAAGGTGAGCAATGTGGCCCATGTGCCTCTTTGAATATAATATAGAAATTGTATCCAGATTTTCGTCATAAACACATGCATATGGTCCATATATTGTCGTTCTTTTATGGACAGCAACTCTTAACTACTCGTATTTCGGTTTTCTGTACTGCTTTAATCGATTTCACACCCAACCAACCAGTTTTGAAAATGTTAATTTCACCAATAAAAGCGCGGACATTGTTCAACGCCGATGGAAATATGAAGCCATCCATGAGGGTACATGAAGAGCGAACAGAATCAGGTAATTGAAAATTAAAAAACAAAATGAATATGATTATAGAATTTTTTCTGTTCCTTGTATGTTGTTTACGTTGTTCGTCATGCGTTAATTTTTTAACATTTTCTGCTTAATTCATCTCTAAAACCACCAAACCATTTCAACCAATTTTTGGATATTTAGCATCTATGGGTAAAGGGGAACAAAATCTTTTAATTTCATGGCTTATGCCTCCCTGGGGTTTTAGGATTGGGGGTATAACCACAAAATTTAAATCATTTTCTAAAAATGTTCTTAATTACTCCTGGGCATCAAGCAGTCAAACTGTTGCAATGAGTGCAATAAGCATTGAGTCTCCTACCATAATTGTGAAAGTCATGGCCCCTGGGTCAGATATTCTTGTGTAAGGGTGGGTTCTATTGACAATATAGTGAAAATGTATTTATTATCTTTTTAAAAACTTCTGACTGCTCATTAGTATTGAGCAGATAAACAAAGTGAATGGTTATGTTAAAATAGTGTGCTTAATCTTACATTTTTTTTTGAACGTGTAGTCCTAGGGTCAGGGTTCTGGTGTTTCTTGGAATGGCGGGGGGGCTCTATAAATTATACAGTGAAATTTGTTTAAATTACTTTCAAAAACTTGATGCATAGTTATGATGATCAGGGTACGTCTTCTCAAGGTAGAATAAAGGCCGAATTTGACCCTATTCGATGTAAATATCAGATAGTGTGTAGTTAAGAACTTAAAACAAGCACAAATTGTGATTTAAAGTTCAAAATTCAAATGTTTAAAAAAGATTTTGTATTTTAAACTTTTGAGTTTTAAATCATGTACATGTATTAAAAAGTAAAAAAAATTGCATAATTCTTTTATTCTGTTAACATTTAAAATACTGTAAACGTGGAATGACGTGTTTGAATAGTTTTCTCGTGATATTAGAGTACAGATTCTTGTGCACGCTCTACCCGAGCAAGTCAGTTTTTAACGCATAAAATAAAAATGTTTTGTTTTTGAAAATTTTACATATTATATTGTATTGGTTTGTAAGAATGAATCCGCCATTCAATTCGTTTACCTCGCAATTGCTGCGGAATTACAGGTTTCCATAGTTTTTTTTTAACAAAATGTTGTTTTATCTATGGTTTTTCCTGGGCGGCGAGGGAAGCATAATTACATATGTATTATGTTTACATTATACTATACTGTTCTGTTTGATATGAGAAATTAATAAATTCTAGCGTCATCTAACAGTGCTTTATAATGGTTGTTGTTATACCCCCCGCTTGAAAAGTGGGGGTATATAGTAATCGGTATTTCCGTCCGTCCGTCCGTCCGTCTGTACGTCCGTCCGTCCGTCCGTCCGTCTGTCCGTCCGTCTGTTACGCTTTGGGGTACCCATCTCTTATCCGCAACTCCTCTCATACCACTGAATGAAATTTGATGAAACTTTCACAGAATCTTTATTACATGTTGCCATTGTGCACCTCCTATTTTACTTTTTGATCCGACACATATTTTGGGTTTCCCGGCCACAGGAAAACATGGACTTTTTCACCAGTTATAACCATATGGGAGGCGGGGGGTATCATTTAGTGAGCTCATCGCTCACAGTACCTCTAGTTTTTGAAAGTGAAAGCGGGGCGTACAAAAAAATCAAAATAGACTAACAACAAACATTTTCTGCAGTAAAAGTTATGTATGAAAGAAAGAAAGGGTAACACATCCACCCCGCTACCTGCACGTATTTTACTTAGGATACTATCAATATTAAGGTTGTCGTTATCGGCCGCCAAACAACCAGCCGGAAGTGCTGGGCTCTCTGTGTTGGGTGACGGAGAGCTGGAGGTCCAGACACACCAGTCTCCCCGTGCCGTTATCATTCACCTTAACGATCACACGGTAGTCACCCTGAAATATACACAAGTCTACACCATATCAGGTAGATTTTAAACGACTGGGAATAATGCACCATAGTTCAATTCTCTATTATCCTTGGACTTTCAGTAAAGGCTTGACAATCTCCCGTTACATAATTAGCGTCTGAAATTTACACAGACTTTCATTCACTGGGATAGAAATTCGGGCGAATGTCAATGAGTGTAGCGATGATCCGATGACAGCGTTTCCTACGGTAAAAAGGTGGGGCTTAAGTCGTCTTATCGTTGTCAACAACAAATTATTTTTTTGGAGTTTCCTGTTATTATTTCTTATTAAATGAGAATATTTATCGGCAATTGAGAGACGCTAATTACGTAGCGCCGAGAATGCCACGCCTTTCTGAAAGTCCAATTCTTAAAAGTTATTATAAAACCACGACAAGGAAGAGTACTACATGTATCATTTAATTTTAACGTTTATTTTATATTTTTGTTTTAAATCATAGTGTGCTTACTTGTGGAATTGTGGAAAATTAATAACTTTTGAAAAGTTAAATCAAGTATTGAAATAAACTAGAGTTGATTTTGATAAATATATATATTTTTATGCCCCCGTAAACGAAGTTTCGGGGGGATATAGTTTTTGTCTTGTCCGTCTGTCTGTCTCTCTGTTTGTCTGTTTGACTGCAAAAACTTTAACCTTGTCCATAACTTTTGATTTAGTGAAGCTATGACTTTCATATGTCACAGGTGTATTTCTTGTGACAAGACCTTTCTTTGGGTACCACCAAATTTGATCTTTTGACCTTGACCTTGGAGTTTGACCCACTTTTACCTGAAAAATTTAAATTTTTACTTTGGCCATATTTTTTGAACAGTAGATACCAGGAAAATTTTACTTCACAAATGTAATTTTTGTTGAAAGACCTTTCATTGGATACGAGTAACCTTGACCTTTTGACCTTGACCCTATAGATTTCCGTACTTGTGAAAAAAACTTTAACCTTGGCTATAACTTTTGAACGGTAGGGATACGGCTTTCATACTTCATATATGTAATCCTTGTGAGAAGACCCTTCATTGGATACCAAGAACTTTGACCCTTTGACCTTGACCTTTAAGATTGACCTACTTTAAAAAAGCAAACCTTGGCCATAATCTTTAAAGGGTTAAAGCTAGTGCTTTCATACTTTACACATTCAATCCTTGTGACAAGACCTTTTATTTCATAACAAGAACTTTGACCGTTTGACCTTGGCCTTGGAATGACCTTTTTAAAAAATTGAATCTTGGCCTTAACTTCTGAACTTTTAGGGCTAGGGCTTGCATGCTCTTCGTGAGTATTCTATGTGGCAAGAACTTCCATTTTGATTCCAAATTACATTGACCTTTTGACCTTAACCTTGGAGATTTTTGTACTTATTGAAAAAAAAACTTTAACATTAGCTTACTTTCAAATTTCACACTTGTTTTCCAGTGAGAATAGCCTACTTTCGGTACCAATTAATTATATTTGCATTTAAGAAAGTTTAATCTTTGATATGTTGCCATACGGGGGCATCATTGTTTCACAAACACATCTTGTTTTCCCCTGATAATTGCAACATGAGTTACATAAAATGTATATTAACCAAGTGAAATGTGAGATATTCATCAGAAAGTTCAATTTGCGAAATGTAAAATAATTTTAAAAATAAAGCTGTTCATATCGCTGCAAACCAGTTTAGGATAGCAGGAATTCTGGGAATGCTGAATGGATAGTAAGTATACGAATATTCCTGGGAGCTGGGGGCACTGACTGGTCGATACCCCCCCCCCAAATCCCCACCCAATTCTCGGTGATCATTTCCTAGACAAGTGTACAGAGGTCATCGTATGTATTATACATGTAAATAGAATTTCAAACTCAAACAACTCAACAATTTAGTAAATAACTTTTTTAGACTAATTTTAGGTGCTAGATCCATTATGACGTCATAATCAAATTCAATTTCATTTTCCCAGACTTGACGGCTTTAGCAGAATTATGTAGAAAATAGGGTATTTTCATGACATTCAATTTAAAACCATATGAAAAGTAAACCGGATACCTATATTAAATCTGATATTGATTTAAAGAAGAGGCCATGAACATACTGATAACCGTTTTCTGTGAGACTGTAGGCAATCTGGATACATTTCCTTTGTCGAAACTCCCATATTCATGACTGGTTTTCTTAATTTTTCATTGAAAATGACGGTTTAAAATACAGTTTTTTCATCTTGTTTACCTACAAATTACGCCCCGAAACACCTTATTTGACCAAGCTAAAGTTGTAAAGCAGCAATAAAGGAATTTATTTCTCAAGTTTGATAAATCTGTAGGCACCTTTCATTTATTAGATCTTGACCTTAAACACAAACTTAGATGAATTGTTTCAGTAATTCCCTGGTAGCATAAAAAAGATGCGCTTCACCAATACTCTCTCTCTCTCTTTGCCTTTCTCTGTCTCTCTGTCTCTATTTACCAAGATCCTATATTGAAAAGGCAGGGCATAGGAACTTCTACCCCAAAGTAGGATTTCCTTTTGATGGAGAGGTACATTCTGGAGCTTCTTATCGCCTTAGTCAGACTGGCGACCACGGAGAGAAGGATGTCCCCCGGGATCCGGACAGGCATGGAGGTCACGGACACATTGTGGAACGGGACATCTCTACTGGAACCTATAACGACAACATACTGTAATGGTAGGGTTAAATGAATATGTAAGTATCAGTGGCGGATCCAGAAATCTTGAAAAGGGGCGGGGCGATCAGTTTGGGATCGGGATATGTGCCACAGCCACACCCCAAATTAATCGATTTATCAAATATTATGTATCTCTCTCCAAAAAAAATAAAAATAAAAAAACGTAAAAGAAGTTTAAGATTTGGCATTCCATAAACATCGATCAACATAAAAGTAATATTTAATTTTCAAATTCAAGGGAGGAATTATATACATCTGTTTATTTCAATTCTTTCGACATTGTAGAACTAAAAATGCCACTTCCTATGAAAGAAAATCTTTTAAAAACCTTCATTAACCCCTGAAAGTGATAAAGAATACAGTAAATATGACAATTATATTATCATCTAGCATTTTACACTTTATATAAATAAACGAATATAATTATGAAAAAAATCAATTCAAACCCTCAACTCCATCCCCCGCGGAAAAAAAAACCCGCGACCTGCGCATGACGTAAAAAGTACAGAAATATGAAAGTTTCTAAGATAAGTTAAGGATGCTGGAAATACTTTTTGTTCTTGAGAAATATTTCATAAAAGTCTTTTGAGTCTCCAATTTTTGACGGAAAGACCCCAACCCCCACCCCCGGGCGTAAAGAATTAAAACTTGATTGTACACCCATGCTGACCTTCTGGAAAGAAAATTTGAATCTAAATCTACATCCAATAGAAACTAAGATAAAAATTATAAAATACTTACAGAACAGAACCTCTCAATGATCAGTTAACACTTTAATAAGCAATATCTTTACACATCTTTTCATATTTCTAACAAACTGTGGTTTATCAGAATTACAATGTACACATTTGTTCAATCTAATTGACTTTAATTTAATTTAATTTGAACACAATATTAATAACTGGATTGAATTTCCTTTTTTAAACAAATGTTTTTTCAAATAATTACACAATATGTTGGTGAGATTTTGGTTTTGTACAATGTCACATGATGTTCATCTTCAGCCAATCAAAATGAAGATACACTGTTGCATTGTGGGAACCAGTGTTCCTGTCTTTCACTTACATGTAGGGTTTTCATGCATTTCTTTTTTTTTTCTTTCATTAATTATCATATGGCATACAATCCTCGATTGTTTAGGTTACAAAATAAAATTGCCCACCAAGAGAACCAGCTGTCCAAATCAGAGGAGGATCACAAACAGAAATCCTCTTCCCATACAGAAAAAGTCAAGGAGTTCCAAAAGGTGAGCAGTCTAATATCAGTAAATTACATGTTCTCCTCATACATGCATTAATTGTTCTGTCATGTTATGCATCTTTGTGTTGAAGCTTGTTTTTTTGTTTGTAGCTGCTGGCCAAAAAAAAAATTAATATAAATCATGTACATTCTTTATCATATCCATGAAAAACACATCTATGGAAAATTTTCATCTATTCATTTTAAATACAATTTTTATAGGGGTATAAGGTATCAACAAGGGTATGAAAAATGGACCAAATCTCTTTATTCCTTCTGTATTTTCTTCTTCAGACATAGATTTTAGTTATCAGTGTTAAACATAGGATGCCACGCATGCCAAAATTCTACCATGCAATTTTTTCTCTACAACTTGGCCTACCCTTTTCCAATATTTTTTTATTGTGTGATTATATTCCCATGTATTGAAATTAAACAATTTCCTTCCCGGTATATAAAAAATAATTGTTTGTTGTGCAAATTATTAATTTAATTTTGAGTGCACTCAAATAAATTTGGAACCCGTTGAATGTAAAGCGTGCAGGGTCATAAGATCTAACCAGTGCCCTGACTAACTTTTGGAAAACATGCAATCAAGATTCTCAGAGAATGAAAAGAATATATATACTAAACCTGAATATTAATATGATTTTATGAAATGAAAATGAAAAAAAACACCAGCAAGATACTAAAACTTAAGATTTTTGGTTTTGTTCTCTTCAGCTGCCCGATAACTTCCATTCTCTCTTCATTATTGACCTCCAAAAGCTAGACGTAGGTACCAATATAAAGATATATCACCACATAATACAAATTAATCAATAGCAAATTTATAAATGATCATGCTTATTGTATGAATTAACTAACAAGTAGCTCAAAAGATTCCGGCAGTAAATGATAATATTTTCACATAATATGAATTCAATACATGTATGTTTAAAAATATCACTTTGACCTTGATATTTGACCTTGATCAGTTTCTTGCCTATATGATGGATTTAAGTTTCACAAAAACCTTCTTTAGTTTGTACGATGAGTTACTGCACCAAATTAGTCAGACAGACAAAACAGACATTAGGCAATCTGATCCTTGTTGGTCAATAGATGCATGTGGTAGGCATGTAGGACTTTATTTTATGAGGGTAGGAAAAGTCAAACTGCATGTTACACAAATGCATGATCCCAAGGAGAAAAGTTCTAAAATGACAGATGTACAGAATCTGAGTAAGAGTTGCTGGTTAGGTAGGCTGGTTATTGCAGGGTCAACAACTTGATAGCTACCTAAAACACTAAAACTGCATGTTGAATCCTCAGGAAAGGCACCCTCTTCTGTTTCAGCCCATGTATAGGACACCTGCTTCACTGGGGGGTCATTGAGGGGATTAATCTAAAAATGAAAAGACCTCTTAGTCCATTCACTGGAAAGTTTGCCATGCTATTTATAGAATAAAAGGAATATTGTCTACCTCATCACGACTGTATTTTAGGAGAATGTATATTAGATATTAATGTTAATTATAAGTTTAACTGATTCATTTTGGCAACTACTAAATAATTTGAACGTTAAAAATACGGAATTAAAGCTGTATTAATATTGGGGTTGATTTTTCTAAAAACAGGACTAAAACGTTAAGGTGTGCAGTGAGTAATTTCTAATTGTTCACTGAGTGTATATTGTGTGCATGCATACCTTTCACCTTCTATATATGATGTAATATCTATGAATCAATGTGTGTATTTACCTGTATAACTATATAGGTGTGTGAGGGCATGGGATTTAAGCAGACTTGTGTTAAGATAACGCATGTTAAATCACAGTATATTTTTAATTAAGAAAACATGCTTTTGTATAAATAATATATTGGTTAGGTTTAAATATTTGTGTGAAAGATCATTATTTTGATGTTTCTATATTTGGAACTGTTTGCTATTTTAATCTTGGAATTGTCTTATAAGATGTCTCAAATCTATATTTCATAGCATTTTTGCTCTCCCTAATATATTCATAGTCCTTTTTTTAAGCACAATAAAATAAGAAAAAAAAGGAATGAAAATTTTCCAGAAAGAAATTTAATTCATAAAAAGACCCTAATTTTAAGGGAGGAGGGGAGTTGTCAAGAGAGCATACAATGTAGTTATCTTATAATTTTACAATATTTCTAAATTTTTGCCAGTTAATCTCTCCATTCATATGATATATCTTATATAAGCATGGTCCTTGATATTTAATTTATGTGAATGAGTGCATGTCAATGTGTTTTAATTTGCTAGCTTTCATTGCAGCCCAGTAAATTGCCCGTACTAATCAGGTGATTTTTACATTCAGTTTACATAAAATGTTTGTAAATAATGCTAGACGATGGTGATCTGCATTTTTTGCATTGCATTCTGTTGTAGATGAAAGCAAAAAAATGGTAAATCAAAGGGAAGCAACTGGTGTATTATAGAACTTAGAGGATGATTATTTCATATAAAATCTTCTTTTTCAAAGTTAATAAAATTATGTAGAACTTTTAAGGGAGGTGTTTGATTTTGATCATTAGTTTGGTTAAGGGGGATACAGTATTAGTCTAAGACATATGGGTAACTGAGGGATTGCTTACTAAAATATATGACATAATGATACTTATGACATAATAATAGTAAGAATGGGGTAAATATAACTAGATGCAAAGAGCTTCAATAATGTGTAGTCATACTAACATAAAAATGGCATTTTCTATGAACATCATTTTGAAACTTCTTGTCCAAAATTGGGACTTTTAAAAACTTCAAAAAAATTTGATTGTGGAGCCCAATTATAAGATTTATGTCATTATAATTAACAGAAACTTCAAGAAAACATGATGAAAAAGCAACTGATGAAGAAGCACCAGTCTAAATAAGGGGAGGATCCAAGCATATAACAGGAAGACAGGAGCGGATCTAAGATTTTATTGGACATTATTTGTATAACTGACAGTAGAATTGTAAATACAATACTTATTTATTTTGTGTGCTAGGTGCTGAAAACATGCATTTACAGACATGTGATGGGCCTGCAGTCTATTTTTAAGAGGAAATTCTGTTAAAAACACAGTTTTGTTGTCTTTTCTAGGGTATAAAACATGATATTAAAATTTGTGTCAAAATTTTAATTCTTATACTTTGAAATACATGTATCTACACATACATTTATATGATAAAAAAAAAGAAAAGAATTCTAATAAAGATGTATTTCTCTATTGATGGACATCCTACAAATATATTTATATAAAAACTTGATGCTAATAACTGGTATTTGATTCATTATTATCTTGAATGAATATGAGTAATTAAGAAGAATATCTGATATGGTATGAAACTTTTATAACATACTTTAGGAAATTGATAATTTATAAATGTAGTAGTAACTTGTAGGAAACTTTTGCAAATTTTCTATAGGGTCTGACAGTGAAACATTTGTATCTTGATGCTCAAATAGACACCAGCACAAATCTATGTATATACATCAATACAGGTTAGAGGGTGAGACAGGGGTTGTGTGACTGTGGTTTTACTGTAGTGAGATTGTCAATTACTGTCAGAGTCTAAAACTTCACAAATAATTACGCAGCCAGACTTTTATTGTATTAATATGTACCTTGTATATGTATGTAAATTTTCTGGTTATTTGTGATATGTAAAGTTTAATATTTTAATGGAGATATTAAATTTCAAACATTCAACTGCTTGTTATTTTTATTTTTATTCAGTTGATCATGGCAATAATTAGTTAT